ATATATATATATATATATATATATATTCCAAAGAATAAACTAATCACATACAAACAATTACACACACACACAAAAAAAAAAAATGTACGATTACGAAGAGGAGGACGTGTTGGCTATTAAAGGCGAACTATGGATGTGTGCGGATAGTGAAAAACCATATAAGGTTGGTGCTGGTAGAGGATCTAAAAACCTTATTGGTATTGAAGATGATCGTTTTTATGTTTATTCCACTCGAAGTACCCAATCACGATTAATAAAAGAAGTGGCCTTTCGATCTATGAAGCGAGTGGCCTGGTTTACACATCATCCCAAACCTCCCGCCTCTGGTGGGCCTCTGGAAGCTCCAACATCTCAACAACAACTCACTCGAGGGAGACGCGGTCCTTCTAACGCCGCAGCAGGATCATCTCTTTTACAGTCAACTCCCTATTATTATATGGTAGTGGAGTTTATTCGTGATAACACTATAGAAGGTATGGAGAATTTGGCAAAACGTGAACGTGTGGTGTTGTGTACAGATGATGCACAAGATTTTCAACTCTGGCAACAATTTGTAGAAACATACAAAAGTTCTTCTGAACGAACGGAAATACCGGAAATTATTGTAGGGCGTTCAAAGAAGAAGAAAAACCCTACAGTGAATGATACGCATGATGATACAACAAGTGATGATACGTTGGATGAAATAGCGGTATTAATGAATGAAATACAAACGTGGAGAAAACGAGCGTTGGGAATTCTTGATGAAGTTTCACAGGTGGTAGTTTCACCTGATGATAAGGAGAATGAAATTTTCCCTAAAGGTCATGTAAATGATAGTACTTGGAAAGAGCGGGTAGATATATTAATGGATACATTGAAGGCGAAATCAGATAAAATTCCTAATTTGGATGTAATACCTCACATAGATAAATCAACAGAGTTGTTAGAGTTATGGAACATGTTGTATGATAGGCACCTCTTTGGAAAAAATACCCAGGAAGAGGTGGATGTCTACACAATAGAACATCAGCAAGAACGAGTAAAACAAATAGATGATCTTTTAATGAAATTAGAATTAAAAACATCCAAACATGTTGAGGATAAACCATTTAAAGATAATACTTATCTTGCTCAGGATGTAGAGAACCTACATGCAACATGTTTAGGCATAGTGAGTGATTACGAAACTAAAATGGGAAAAATAGAGAATATAAATAAAAGTGATGATAATAATAATAATAATACTTTTAGTTTTGGTACTGGTAGTAAATCCAAGTATGATAAAGATATGAAATTATCTCAAAAGATAGAATATATCTATCATACCTTAGAAAGTCAGGTATCAGAATCTGAAAGCGAAGATCCAACAGAAGATATGTTAGCCAAACTTCGTGCAGCTAGACGTTCATTAGGTGTAGGATCTGCAGGAGCACAGGTAGTAGTACAACAGGAACGTCACGTAAAGAATATGGAAAGACTAGCAAAAGATACTATGTTAGCCTATAGTGAAGTGACGGTTACTCTCTTAAAGAGTTGTTATGAGGAATATGCATCTGTGCTGGATCATCTTCTCTCTGCTGTGCGTGGTAATGGTGCGGGAGGTGAAAAGATTGTTATTACTTCTGCACACTTTGAAGTGGTAGAGGCATTAGAAGAGGAAAAACGTGCGGCAAAGGTAAAACAGGAGGCATTAGAAAACCTTATGGAAGAATTAGAACGTGTAAGGCGTGAACGAGATGAGGAAATTGGGGTATTAGAACATAATTTTGCAAGAGCAAAGGAAGGTTGGGAAAATGATCTTGCGGTATTACGGGCAAAACTCACAACTTTACAAAATTCCATGTCACGTACAGCTGTTGTAGTGCCTGCAGAGAATACGGTATTAGTTTCCCCACGAGAAGAATTATATGGTAATAGTGAGGAAGAAACACCGGCGGCAGCATCTTCATCCCTTATGAGTGCAGATACTGCTGATAATGGGGATAATGATGATTCTATCACTAGATGGGCCACTAGACTTACATGTACGGGTGGAGAATTACGACCGAGTATTGTTGCTCTTAGACTCCAACGTTTCTTCTTTTGGTCTTTACGAAATGTTGTACCTCTTTGCGCTGGACGCGATACAAATTGTATATTGGAACTTGTCATGTGGGCTATGCGAAATCATATGGAACTTCTCCAAACTGCGGCACGTGTATTTGGAAGTTATGCAGTAGGAGGTGAAAATAGTAATAACGATGAAAAGGCAACAGATTTATGCAGCGCTCTGCAAGCACTACATGATAACCACGTAAGACTACAAAAACTTGTAGAACTCTACGGTGATATCTCATGTGATGGTCATGCGAACCGTTATGCAGATTTCACAAATGTAGAAAATAGACTTTATACACTTCGTAAAAACGATATGGTATTAAATAATGTACATACTATATTAGGTACAGACAATGATAATGTAGAGCATAAACTTCTGCAATTACTCCAGAATACTGAAACATTACAACATATTAAAACTGTAACCGGAGATCACGATGATACTGTTGAATTTATTAGACGACAATACGAAGAATTAAACCAATTAAAAAATTCACTTCAAGAAGTATTAACACAAGACCAAATCATGGACGCAACGACAAGTAACCTTCTTAAACTTATACCCACAATAACGAAAACTCAAGAAGATTTAGAAAATGCACAACAAGAATTAATACAAAAGAAAGAACAACTTAAATTACTTAGTGAACAATCCAAAATAGAAATAGAAGAGTTAAATAACCGGCTTCACCTGTTATACGAATACTTTAACAACCAACCACACCAACAAAACACCACAACCCTTGTTACAGAAGAGACCCTGGCTTCAATATTAAATGTAAGACCACAAGGAATAACAGAGAAAGTAAAACAGCTTCTACAAGACTTATCCATAAGCAACGAACTACTAGGAACCACAGAAGCAAACGAAAACAGTACATCACATAGAACTAACAACGATACGTCGACACGTGCACAGTGCCTGCGTGGTATCGAAGCTGCTCTGGCCACTCTTGGTGCCACTGATAGCGACGAGCCCGCAGCGGCAGCCATTCTCAGAGCTGC